GTCCTAGATGAGCGGTGCTCCCCTAAGTGTTTGGAAAGTAATTGTATATGTTTTCTTCAGCAGGTGGGTGAAAGCGCGATGGAAAATAATTCATTTTCGTTTGAACAGCGTGAATTAGAAAATAATGACATTTTCCATCGGAGCTTTGACCCCACTTTGCATAATGTATGCAAGAGTTGCGTGGCGGGAAGGTTGAATAAGAGTAGGGCGTTGGTCATTGACTGCTATCTAACGAGGCAGGGCGGACCACCCGATTTTAAAAATTCTAAAAGAATTTTTTCTTCTTTACAGATTCTTTAGGAAAGTTGAATTTCTTGCTTATGTTCTGCATGACTAGATGGTGCCAGGGCTTCGCAACCTTGCCTTAACAGGAGATGTGTGACAATTGTCATAGTTTGCTTACAAGTTTGGCTCGACAGGTGGAGTAGTTCAATAGATTGTGCTTAAAATGTTGGCTTGACAGGTGTAAGAACGCACATTGACGAAAAGAGGTGTTCTTTTCATATGCATAATTTTGCATACGTAAGTATTTGAGAAGGTATGTATCAAATTTCATTATCCAAGATAACCCGTGTGTATAGTGTTACTTGGTGCCAGTAAACGAGACGTACGCAGCCGTCCTAGATGAGCGGTGCTCCCCTAAGTGTTTGGAAAGTAATTGTATATGTTTTCTTCAGCAGGTGGGTGAAAGCGCGATGGAAAATAATTTATTTTCGTTTGAACAGCGTGAATTAGAAAACAAACGCTAATGATGTACCTTCAGTTTTCTGGAGCTTTGAAAATAAAACGTCAGACAATATGCTTTAATAATATTTCATCCTTTATCTCTCAGATATTCAACATACAAGACTAGCTATAATATATTACCATCTCCTCTCCTCGGGCACATGTAAAGGTAGGCGGGCACACCTACAGGGAGGTGATGTTTTGACCACGTAAAAACATGTATATTCCGAAGAAAATCAACGACAAGAAGTTGAATTAATATTTTTGAAACTCATTTGCATCTTAGGAAGCTTTATGTCATCCTTCACATCTATGATATTAAATATACAACATTAGGCACATGTAGAGGTAGGTGGGCACACGTACAGTGATGTTTTGACCCCACACGTTTTGACCAGGTAAAACTCGTATAATCCAAAGAAAATCAATGAATAGAAGTTGCATTTATATTTTTGAAACTAATTTGTAACTTAGGAAGCTTTATTTCATCTTTTATCTCTCGGATATTCGATATTATATAACACTTGTCTAGCTTTATGCCTTATTACACTTCCCTCTCCCCGGGCACATGTAGAGGTAGGCAATTAAACAGGCACATAAAAACGACAATAAGAATCGCCAAATTTGTATAAATACGTTATTAACATACAACTCACAAAATATACTTAACACAAAATATACTACTACCGCATAACCACAGACAATACACCCGTACATTGTTCAAATTTTGCCCCGACTGTGCCCCAGCAGAAGATCGTGAACGAATAAGAAATTGGTGGTTCCCGAAGAAGAAACTTATTACCGGGTGAAATTTAAATTGTGTTTGGACTGTAATTACTTCAGGAATTTGCTGCAAAAAGGAGCATTATCTTCACTTCTCACTTCCGCCAAGTTGCTGGGTGAGGAATAAAATAGTTTTTTGAACAAAGACAGCCAGACTTACAAAAAGATTCAAATGAAAATGGTGCCTAAATGTACTGGGAGGATAAATCTATCAAGAGATATCATGAAACCCATGATTAAATATTCATACTTCCATCAATACAACTTTTAAAAAGTGGGAACTTTTTTTTGACTCACTCTGTATATCGCGTTTTTCTCGAAACTGGGTTTTTCGAACGCGCAGGCGTTCGCGTCCTTCTGCCCGGCACACGACGATCTTGTCTCCCAAACATTTTATAAGACACCGGAGTGTTTTGTTTTTAGTGTTTAAATAAAATTACTTACCACTGTACACAGCGCCAAAAGGAGAATGAATGTCCATCCCATCTTGAATGTGAGTGGGTTGCATATGGCTAGGAGTACCTCTCAATTGCCTCTGACTTAAGCAATGGTCCAAACAATTTCAAAGAATTCGTCTAATCAAAGAAAATCACTGTAAGAATTGTTTCCCTCATGAAGATACACCTTCATATGGGGAAATTAGTTGTTGTTTTCTATTCACTTAGTACTGCTGAGTTGTTTCTAGTACGATATCCAAAGCGTCTGTGAAAGTTTAGACCGAAACAAATATTTTCAAAGCGAATTTGTGTTAACAGGATTGGCACATGCAGTATTGACACACGCATGTTTCAATAACGTGAATTTAAAATCGACCGTCCTTGCATTGATCCCCATGTAGAAATACCTCAACCAGAAGGAGGAGGAACAGCTCGATCGGGAGCTCGATAAACAATGCAGCAAAAAACCTGTCCACAAAATCATTAACAATCATGTTAAACGTGTTGCTATCCTGATAACAAGATTATGCATATGCTACATGTTATGTTTCCTAGTAACTGATACCACGTGATGCGAGGTTTCAACCAATGACATTGCACGAAAGAAAGTACCCGTCACCCAAAGAGCCAGCGAATGATCACAGTACCCGAAAAGTCATCCATAATAGAGAAATTATAAATATACATGTTCATTAGTTTAATAGGTTTCATCGTGCTTTTAACCGCAACTCGTGATACGGTGTGCCATGGGTTGTCCTATACATAATTAATACTCTGGCGACAATTGCCCTGGGATTCATTTCTGAGGGGTGTCGTGGTCTAGTGGATACGTAATCGGACTGTAGATCACATGGTTTGCGGTTCGAGTCCTTCTGCGGCACTAAAATGTCCTTTGGCAAGACATTAATATAAATGTGGGGTTAAATGGGTACAAATAGGCAAGAATTCCTTGAATGATGTGAGCATCGAAATTGGTAGCCTATTAAAGGAGGGTCGGGCTATTTTTATGCGTCGCCTTGAGCACCTTGTGTGGTGAATTATGTGTGCTATAAATATATCAAATATTATCATTATTATATTATTCTTCGTGAGAAGTTGAAATAATTAAGTAGACATTTACTATTAAAAAAAGTGTTCATAGTATAATATGTGTATGTGCACACTATCACCATGTGAGCTCACGTTTGACACTATTACAGGTATAAACGTAATTTGTATAAACATATACTAAAAGAAAATAGGAATACATATAATAATCTCCATGCTGCCTTAATATGGGGTGACGGTTGCCCGAATCAAGGGCGGATCCAGCCGGCAGCGAGGGAGAGGGCCCAAGAGGGAGCCCAATTCGTGAGAAAATATTTAGCGGCGACTCAGCCAACAGGCCGTATAAGCGGGAAGGGGGGGGGGGGGGTAGTGGGCATTTTTTTTTGCTCATCAAAAATGTTTTTTTTGGCCAGGGAGGTCGTTTTCTTTTCTTTCTTTTTTTAAAGGTAAAATTAACGTTCCCATCTTTTTTGTAACCTATTTTTGGGGCCAGGGGAGGGGGCAGGGCCCCCACCCTCCCCCTGGATCCGGCTCTGGCCCGAATACTATACAGTAGTATTAATAATTTCCCATTTGCTGGGGATGCGTGCAGCCCCTCTCCTCCTCTCCCCCTCTCCTCTAATTATTCGTCGAACGCCTGAGGACACAAATATCAGGCGACGAATTTGATCTAGAAAGGACTCCTAAAAGTTCTCAGCACCTGACCTGGAAAATTTAATGAATAAACGTCCTAATTTACAACAAAAAAAGTGATTGTGTCGTGCATAGGCAAACATATAGAGTATCAAGGTCCGATTAGGAGCACCAATCAATGAAATGAGTGGTGTTTTTTTTTTTTTTTTTTTTTTTTTTTACATTTTAAAACGCGTACACCCCGTTTGATTAAATATTAAAACAGCACTATTCCTGAAAACGTCATTATCGTAGCTGAGTAAAATAAGGCTCGTTGTAAAATCGACTCATATTCGATAATTGATTATTCTTGGCGGTTCATTATCATGCGTGTTGGAGTACAGAAAGACCTTGCTTTAGTCGGAAACATTAATACTGAATCGGCCATGAGAAAAGGTATTGAATTAATCCCTCAGTGGTGATAGATGATTAGGCACAATATCGCTTTCAATGTCCAATTAATTGGATAGCTCACTAATTTAATTATTTACGTTTCCATCACAACCTATTTATATTCTTAATTCGTTATTGGATTTCTAAAACTTAAAAATTAAAATCTTCTGAATTATGTCTTGACTTATGATGACTTGTATGACACTGAGCAATGCTCAATGATGAATCTCTACCAGGAATCGAACCCTGGTTCTCGGCTTGTAACGCGAACTGCCTTATAATCACGAGACCATGCACGGAGACGGGCCCGTTCGGCGACACCAGATTGAAGTGGCCTACTTATAGCTTGTTCGACCTTTACCAATTCTTTGTCGAGGGCAGGCAGATAATATTATGTACATATATGGGGCAAAGTTCATGTGTATATGTTCAGACGAGAGCGTGTGTACTGCCCAAAATGTATAAATAATGGTATAAGGTCCATGTGATGACAACCAATAATTTTAATGGGTATGGGTTTAGCTTTCGGCGCCTTGGCCTAATTTTTCGGAATTCATTGCTAATTAAACAATATTGACCGTAAAAAGACATCAACAAACTAAATCTACAAATTTTGAGGCAACATTGAAAGCAGCAATATATTAAAAAAATAAAACAAGTCATGTAAATCACAGAGAATACCTTTTTTTTTAAACCATATTTCGAATAATAATCATGGGGCCTAACCTAAATAATTATTAGAAGTTTACAATGGCGATAAGAAGCTATCATTTCGCTTTAAAATTCCGCACATATCAATGGCAACTCTAGCCTCGTAATGAATATTATGAGGACCATAAACAATTCCTCGATCAGTTGCGCTTTCAAACCCTCGATGGCCCTAACCTCTGCCCCTATATATTGACGTTTCGGTTAGACACTTGACTCGTCTCCGCTTTAGCTATGCAGAGCAAGTTCACGATTCAGACAAGAGTAGGCATATACTTATCATAACGAGAAAAATACAGATTTAAATGTTCATTTTCAATTTAAAGAAAACATGGCTTCGTCGGAAACATCTTCATTGAAATCGTTTTGTATAGTTACAGGGGCAAGCAGAGGCATTGGTCGTGCCATTGCTATCGCCTTGTCTAGCAAATTTTCTGCGGAATCTCATATAGTTTTGACAGGACGGTCTGTCGATGCATTGAACGAGACACAGCGGATGGTACAGGCCGCTGCTCCAGGCGTCCACTGCAAGGTTGTCATCGCTGATCACTCGGATGAGGGTAATATTTCCAGCATTCTTTCCGAGATCACGAAGGACGTCAATCCGGATGAGTTTCAGCGTTTTCTTCTCATCCACAACGCCGCTAGTTTGTGGGATGTGTCACGGTATGCTGGGCAGTTGACCACGTCTGATCTGAGAAGTTTGCAAGACTTCTGTATGCTGAATATCACTTCAGCGCTACTTCTAACCTCTCATTATCTGAAGACATTTCCTCAGAGAAATGGAGTGTCCAGAACGATCGTTAATATATCATCACTCGCTGCTTCGGTACCGTTCCCCGGTTGGTAAGTTTTTCTCTTTTATTAATATCTTTATGTTAACCGTTTGTACAAACATCTCTTTATCAATAAAACAACTGGGCCGCCTTGGCTTTGTTCTAAAGCTCACATTGAACATTGATACAAAGACCTATTATATAGACCTGGTTTCCAGCATTGATTTCTCGAAAGCCACTGCGATCTTTTTTTCGTTTTTACAAGGTAGAATTTTGAAAGCAAACGATAATGAAATATGCAGTCGATGTAAGTCTTATTCACCATGAGGGGCTCCTTCAATGTCTTTGCCAAGATATCGTTTTGATTTACTTTCATCAATACTTCATTGTAAACCATATAGGCCTATATATATATATATATATATATATATATTATAATTGTACATGTAGCCTCATATAAAGTTGTGTGTGTGTACGTGTCAGTATGTCTGTGTGTTCTTGCGCGTTATAAGTTAAAATAAACCCAAAAAAAATCTGCACCATCTTTTTGTTTTGATCTTTTGATTGAGATATACCAAAATAATTGAATGCAATTTTTGCATGCGGTGTATCTTTTGGTATATATAGTCAGTTTGATTATTATTCATGTACTTGCATGTTTATGATGATTTTTAGTATGCCCTCGAAATTGACCATTGTCTCTGGAGCATTATGTGTCGTATAATTCTTATTTCGGCTTATACATGGCATGCATCGACAGTGATCGACTGGTAAACCTTTTAAATGGAATATGCATCAGAGTTTTGTGGTTGATCTTCTGTTGTAGAGTCCGCCCCCCCCCCTTTCCCCCACACATACACACGCACACACACACGCACGCGCACACACACGCACACAGACACAGAAACAACACACAAGAGATTTTGCACCTTTCAAGCTTCAACTTTCAATCGAAACATTTAGAAAGTATGTTTTATTTATGTGATTAGTGATTTGATAGTAATTGTATTTTTAAAAGATGATGATGATGATGATTCACACATTTCACAATATTTATGTTGCGCAATTTTATCTTTAAAGCCCCACTGTCCTACTTGTAGCTACTTGCTCCCTCTATATAGAAAACTTCCCCAATCGGTGCATGTTGGTCCCCCATGATCCTCTTTTTCTTATGTTAGTTGAGAGCTGAGTTAATGAGATAGCCACCAGTCAGTGACCTCGCTGTTTGGTCTAATCCCTTCTGGTCCAGTAGTGTTGACGGCCTTTAAAATTAAAGACGCATGCACCTTACTGAATTCTTATAGTAAGTTAATAAAGGGTCCATAATTATTTCTAATTACATGTACCTTGCTTTTGCAGCTCCGTATACTGCATGGGAAAGGCTGCCAGACACATGCTCTTCAGGACCATAGCCCTAGAGGAACCCGGTGTCCGGTTCTTGAACTATGACCCAGGTGTGGTGGATACGGTGATGTTTAGAGACTTAGCCACCAACAATGTCAGTCTGGATGCCAAGCAGATGATGGAGAGGCTTGAAACCGATCAGCAATTGCTCAAACCGGATCAAACCGCCGCAATGCTGCTCAGCATCTTGGAGAAGGATGCGTTTGAGTCTGGCGCTCATCTGAGTTATAGCGATGATTTTGCGAAGACATTCGATGATTTTAATAAGAAATAAGTAATTTGAACTCTGAGTATTACATTTCAAAGGGCTTATCAGAACACCGACATACCTAAGTATATTCAGTGGCGGATCCAGGGGGGCGTGGGGGCCCGGGCCCCCTTCCCTGGGGAAAAAATACAGTTAAAAACATGTTAATGTTACCTTTTGGGGGGAGATGGGCCCTTCACCTGGTGGGGGGGGGGGGGGGTGCGATTTTTCAAATTAGCGAGAGCAAAAAAAAAAAAATTCTCACGAATTGGGCCCCCTCCCATGCCGCCGGCTGGATCCGCCCCTGAGTATATTACTGGGAAAATAGTTAGTAAGTCTATTCTAACTTGTTATATGATAATGTTTGAGGATTTTTGTACCCATTTGCTAAGAAAGCAAGTACATTAAATGCTTGTAAGTAAGCTACCAGGGGACCGATGGCTTTAAGTCCTCTCCAAGGGACGTGATAATGAGGATTGACTTGTAGGGCCAGTGAACACATCCATGTGGGAACGTTAGATTTATATAATTATGGTGTCAGCGGGAAACATGTTCTGGACTATTTCGTATACTGTATATTAAATCGTGGGCCTCCATCATGTCTATGTAGCAGTAATCGTAGAGATGTTACTGGCCCATCGTGACTTATAAGGTGCGGAGGACGATGATTATGTTGATGATGTGTATGATGATGACGATGGTGATATCATGATAATAGCATGAACACTAATGGTGATGACGACGATGATGATGATGATGATGATGGTGGTGATGATGAGGAAGATGTTTATGACGATGACAATGATGACGATGATGGTGATAATGACAATGATATTTTAAAAAATGCAGATGAGAATGGTGATGTTATGATAATGGTGATGGTGATAATGGTGTGTATGCTGGTGATGATAGTGATGATGACGAGGATGATGATGGTGATGATGATAATGATGATGAATGATAATCATGGTGGTGATGGTTTTGGTGATGATATAGTAGTGGTATATGACCTAGTGTTGTTGAGCTGAATGCGGTTTTATTTACAGACTCTGAAATAACACGTCCGTAATCAAATCTCGTAGATTCATGTATGTAATTATGAATGAAATAGAAAAATTCCTCAATCTCAATAATTAAAACAATGAAATACACATACAGGTTGTAATCAACTATTTCTCGTATCATATTCAATCAATCATAATGTTTTCATGTATCTTGTTTCATATTTGTAATCATGTTAATATGTTTCGTATACAAAAATATCATGTAACATGTGAATGAAGGTTTCGAATAAAAAAAAAATCCAAAGATTGTAATGGACTTGATTAAAGTCATTTCTTATTAAATTTATCAGTTATTGTCGATTTTGTTTTATTTTACTTGCCGCTGGATTCGGTCTCTTGCAAAAAGGTAGTACTGGAAAATGGATATACGGCCCTGTGGTGTCACTTTATAAAAAAAATTATAATGATTTTATTTTTATTTTATTTTTTTTAAAGGGAGATGGTATTCAGTTTCCATGTGCAGTATTAAGTCATAATTCGCGAACACCAAACTTGGTAGAAGTGGGTGCAAGTCTCGCACACATCAAACCCGTGGTGCCATCAATAAATACATGTACTCCTTTTAGTCCAATAAGACCTGTTCGTCATTAAACTGATGGGTTATCCGAGTGATTACACAGGGGCAGCGGAGCGTATTTAAATGGGGGGGGGGTGCACCAACAAAAAGGGCACTTTCTGGAGGAGAAAAAAATGCTAGGAAAACCTCAAAGATATATACATACGTAGGTCTTTATATACCTCTTCATTCTGATTACTAGTAGTTTATCAGCAGGGGCGGATCTACGGGGGGGGGGGGGTAGGGGGTTTAAACCAAGTGAAAATGTCATGTGCATAGAAAAACGCCATCACTGCTTGTTATGGTCTCTATTGTGTTAGTAGATGCCAGGAAAACATCACTTACGGGTGTTTAAAATAGCACCTAAAAAATCGCCTCGCCGCTATGCGGCTCGGACTCCGCGGCTCGCGGACGATGCTCCGCATCCTCATTGGGTCAAACCCCCCTCCCCCTAAGCAAAAAGCTAGATCCGCCCCCTGATTAGGGATGGTTTCATTGTTTCTCCTTTTACATGGTTTCGGAGATACTGTTTAGGTATGCATACTTAGCAGAACGGTGTGATGGTTTGAATATTTATTTGCGAGCGAGCGAGCGAGAAAAATGTATACGATGTGTGGGAGAGGGAGAAAAATTCCTATCATGATGGTCTGAAAAGATCTTTAATAAGAAACAAAATCATAGAAACATAAAATGCGAGCGAACGCGATCGACCTTTGGATTAAATTGAAGAAAAACCTGCTTTTGGTAGCTTTAAATGAGGAGCACATGTTATGGTGAAAGGGAAAGGGAGCACATATCCAGCACATAAGGACACTGGAAAAGATAGTACGTGGCAAACTTCAAAGTAAAAATCGGAATTATCAGAGGTGCAAATATGGCACTACTAGCACCTGATAACTTATGAGAACGGAAAAGGGTCACTTATTACAAAGGAAAGGGGGCATTATCAGAAGGACAAAATCACTTAAAAGATAGGATAGGAGCACGTGTCAAAATAAAAGGGGCACTTATTACAAAGTTAAAGTGGACACCTGTCAAATTCTGATGAGGGCACTCACCGGAGATGAAAAGAGTCATTTAAAACTGTCAAAATGAAACCCCAAAGGGGGGGGGGGGGTGAATAATCAGATTTGGTTTAGGCATGGGTGTGCCGTTCAAGCCTTAAAACCCCTATCCATTATTAGGGGTCATTTTGGATCATTTTCTCGAGAGAAAAAAAAGACCAAGTTTCACAATTTTCTGGTGTTTTTCCCGAATACTTTGCATATTTTGGAAATTTTGAAAAAACGGACCCATTTTTTTATGGCATTTTTGTTAAAAGTGGGACCCATGTTTAGGGATTTTTTGTGAAAAGTGACCCATTAGAGCGGCACACCCCCGTATGTCCTTATTTGTGAGTACCCCCCCCCCCCCCCCCCCAAATAAGACGTACACCTGTCGGATTTGAAAAGAGGCACTCACCTGAGATGAGTAGGAGCACTTGTGAGAATAGAAAGGGCCACTTATTACAGAGGTAAATGGGCACTTGTCGAAAGAAAAGAGGCACCTATGATATTTTAATGTAGGCATTTATCAGACGTGGCTCTTATTAAAAGAAGAAAATAAGGGCATTTATCAGAAGGAAAAAGGTCACTTATTAGAAAGACTTGGAAGCACGTGTCAGAATAAAAGAGGGCCATTTGAGAGGTAAGAAGTGGCACTCATCAAATATGAAAAAGGGCACTTATCAAAAGAGGAAGGGGCATTTATCCCAAAAGAAAATGAGGGCACTTGAAAAAATAAGCACCTAGCTCTCAGATTTGAATACGGGCAATTATCATCGGTGAAGGGGGCACTTATCAGAGGTGGTAAGAGACACTTATAAGAATGTGGAACGGGCACCTATTAGAAATAAAAAGGGGCACTTATCTGAAGTAAAAAGGGGGGCACAACCACTTTTCATATGTAAAATGGCCGGGGCACTTGAAAATGTGGGGGCACTACCTGCTTGCAGCCTGCACCCCCTGCTCCGCCGCCTCTGAATTTGTATAAATATGCTCGGCCTACTAAAGGGGTCAATGTCGCTACTCATAAGGACCGTTATTCATAAGGTCAGCTATTCGTAAGGTCCGCTATTCATAATGACCGCTATTCATAAGGTCCGCTATTCATAATTACCGCTATTCATAAGGACAGCTTTTCATAATTTGGGAAAAGGGTCATTTTTCTTAAGGACCGCTATTCATAATCAAAGAAGAAGGTCGGTATTCATAATATGAGAAGAGGGTCGCTATTCATAATACGAAATCGGAGTCGTTATTCATCAGGGTCCCTATTCATAACATGAGAAGAGGGTCGCTATTCATAATGCAAGAAGAGGGTCGCTATTCATAATGCAAGAAGAGGGTCGCTATTCATAATACGAAATGAGGGTCGCTATTCATAATGCATAATGAGGGTCGCTATTCATAAGGGTCATTATTCATGAGGGTCATTATTCATAATCGATGAAGAGGGTCGTTATTCATAATATGAAATGAGGGTCGCTTTTCATAATAATGCTCCTTCCCTATGTATTTTTCTTGTTATCGATCTTTTATCTGTATATCAGTATGTTTTAATGTTTTTTTTAATGGAGAATGAAATAAATGAAACGAAAATGAAATGAATAGAAGTTGAATTGATATTTTTTAATCTAATTTGTATCTTATAGGAAGCTTTATTTCATCTTTTATCTCTCGGATATTCGATATTATAGCTTTATGCCTTATTACACTTCCCTCTCCCCGGGCACATGTCGAGGTAGACAAGCAGGCACATCAAAATGACAATATAAGAATCGCCAAATTTGTATAAACACGTTATTAAAATAAAAACTCAATAAAGATACTTAAATATTGCTACCGAATAACCACAGACAATACACCTGTATATTGGTCGAATTTTCCCCCTGATTTAACCGACTGCGCCCCAGCAGAAGGGCGTGAACGGAAAAAGTGTTTATATCTTTAACATTTTTAAATCATTTTTAATAATAATGAAGTTGGTGATCCTCGAAGAAGAATGTTATCATTGGGTGAAATTTAAAAGATGTTTGGACTGTAATTACTTCAGGAATGTGCTGCAAAAAGAAGCATTATCTTTATTATTATATGTCGCGTTTTTCTCGAAACTGCATGTGTTTTTCGTGCGCACAGGAGTTCGCCTCCTTCTGCTGGACACACGACGGTCTTCTTTCCCAAACATCGACCAGGATGTTTTGTTTTTAAATGGGTACCCGGTAGGATGCGAAAGTTAATGTGTTTGGATCATTGGATGAGCAAGTGGGGCTTGTAAAATGGCGAATAGCTGGAATGCTCCCCTGGTGGATGGAAAATGTGCATACATTGTGTTGCGGGCAGGGGCGTCGCTAGACCTTTTTCAGTAAGGGGGGGGGGGGGGTGTAGAGGCCACTGATTACCGTCAAAACTAGCCACCAATTACCTACAAATATATTAATGCCAATGTCCCAATGTCTACAAATTAAACCCTATAAACCCGGGGCCAGGAGCTAAATTATTTTTCAGTTTTCCCCCTCCCGCGCGAAGCTTAGAT